GAATAGAGTCCCTGATTGTTTTTTCAGCTTGACTATTGTTGGCGTATATAAACGCTACTGACTTATAAGTATTGATTTTGTATCCTGAGATGCTGCTGTATTTCTAGATCACTTCTAAGAGTTTTGAAGTTGAGTCCCTGGGATTTTTTCAGGTATAGGATCATCTCATCAGCAAAGAGTAAGAGTTTGATCTCCTCTGACCCTATTTGGATACTCTTGATCACCTTCTCTTGCCTGATTGCAATGGTTAAGACTTCCATTACTATGTTGAATAGCAGTGGAGACAGTGGGCATCCTTGCCTCATTGTTGCTGTAAGGGTTTCACAGAAAAGCGATGTCACGAAGAATAAGCACGCTTACTGAAATTGTATTTTAAATAAAGGTGACCATCTGCTCGCTCAGGCAAAATGGCGAGCTTCTTTATTTGCAGTTGGCTTATATAGGGAATTTTGTACATGAGCACAATGCAGTAATGACCTCATTGATCCATTTAAACAGTTTATGACCACTGCCCTGTAAGTAGCTCCTCCCTGGTAATCTAATAATCCATCCAACATACACCTTTAAGCATAATCCTTTCAATATAACCCAGTTTAACATAACTTAATGAAGAACATGTTGTCAGTTATTACTTTCTTTGATCTTATCGGATGAAGCCTGAAGCTATGGGGGAAAGAGACGATTTGAATGTCCTACTGACCATGCCATTTGGAGGCAGTTACTTTGAATCTTTAAGCAAAGCATAGAGAAACTTCTTGGGCACATAGGAGTTTGTGTGCAAACCTCTGCTCCCATGTAGGCCTTAAGTTGGGGGGGGGGTGTTGCTGGAGCCTTTTATAAGGAATTCTCAGGCTGGACTTCTCAAAAGCCTTTCATGAGCCCAAGTTTCATCTGTGCCATTAGATACTTGTATGACATTACCATTCTCAGACCTGTCAGCAAGTGACCTTCGTCTCTTACCACAGATCAGGAACCCAGACCTGTCAGTAAGCGACCTTCATCACTTACCACAGATCAGGAAAGGTTACTGATGGGTATCTGGCCAGTGTTCCAAAGGACTTTCTCATAGGCCTTATAAAGTCAAACTTAATTCCTTAACGCAGTCTGGAAATGCTATTCCAGCCAAAACCTTGTTCATGTTAGGCCTGCAACTAACCTGGCTACATGGGATTTTGCCTCAGTTTCTTAAGTATGCCTGCACAAAGTCTTTTCACTGCTCTCTCTCAAGCGGCTTTTTTGGCCAGAGGCATATAGGCGTTTCGCCTATAACTCGTTACTGATCTGAGTGTAAATGTTTTCAATTTAACACCATTCAATGTGATGGTGTTTGGCTGTGGGTTTGCTGTAGGTGGCCTCTATTAGTTTAAGAAATGTCCCTTCTATGCCTAATTTCTTAAGAATTTTGATCATGAAAGGATGCTGGATATTATCAAAAGCTTTTTCTGCATCAATTGAGAAAATCATAAGGTCTTTGTTTTTTATTTTGTTGATATGATGTATTATATTTATAGATTTGTGTATGTTGAACCAACCCTGTAAGCCTGGAATAAAACCAACTTGATCGTGGTGTATAATTTTTTTGCTGTGTTGTTGAATTCTGTTTGCTAAGATCTTATTGAATATTTTTCTATCGATAGACATTAATGATATTGGTCTATAATTTTCTTTCTTTGTTGGGTCCTTTCCTGGTTTGGGTATCAGGGCAATATTTGTTTCATAGAATGTGTTGGGAAGTATTCCTTTTTTTTTCTATGCTTTGGAAAATGTTGTATAATACAGGTTGATATTTGATAGGTTGATAGGTTTCCTCTTGAAAGGTTTGATAGAATTTGGTTGTGAAGCCATCTGGTCCTGGACTTTTCTTTTTAGGGAGATTTCATATTGTTGATGCTATTTTGGTGATTGATATAGGTCTATTCAAGATTTCTAATTCTTTCTGGTTGAGTCCAGGAAGGTGGCATGCTTCCAGGTATTGGTCCATTTCCTTTGGATTTTCATATTTCTGGAATAGAGATTTTTGTAGTAATCATTGAGGATTTTTTAAACTTCTGAAGTGTCTCTTGTTATTTCCCTTTTATAGTTTCTGATAGATGATATTAGAGATTTTGCTTTTCTATTTCTGGTTAGGTTGGCCAAAGGTTTATCAATTTTGTTAATCTTTTCAGAAAATCAACTTTTTGTTTCATTGACCTTCTGAATGATTCTTTTCTTTTCAATTTCATTTAACTCTGCCCTAATTCTAGTTATTTCTTTTCTTCTGCTGGGTTTGGGGTTGCAATGTTCGTCCTTTTCTAGTTGCTTGAGATGATCCATTAAGTTGTTGGCTTCCTCTCTTTCTGTTTTCTTGACGAAGGCTTCCAATGCTATAAATTTCCCTTATAGGGAAATTTACAGGTTTTGGTAACTTGTGTCTTCTTTAGCATTTTGTTCCAAAAATTTGGTGATTTTCTTCTTTATCTCATTTTTGACCCAGCTATCATTCAGCCTAAGATTATTTAGCTTCCATGACTTTGTTTGAGTATGAGGATTCCTGTTGCTGTTTAGTTCAACTTTTATTCCATTGTGGTCTGAGAAGATAGAAGGAATAATTTCCACACTTTTAAATTTGCTGAGGTTAAACTTGTGTCCTAGGATATGATCTATTTTGGAGGATGATCCATGGGCTGATGAGAGGAATGTATATTCAGTTTTATCAGGGTGAAATGTTCTGTAGAGGTCT